GCCAATCCAGGCACACACTTCTCCATAGAAGTGCCTTCTAGGCCAGTAACTTGGTGGCTCTGACATCACAGACATCACTGTGAGGTCATAACCCTGGCTGTATATATAGGGGGCGGTGCCGGGTGGATTCTCTGTAGGTAGTTTGGAGGTTGGAGTTTAGTTGGGTGGTTGTGTGGTGATTTCTCGGGTTTCGGATTTGGTTTGTTGATTTGGCTTCGGTTTTCCGTTCTTTGGATTTGAATTTGGATTTGGCTTTGACGTTTGGACTTTTGGTTTATTTTTTTGCCTTTTTTGTTTTCCTGTTTGTTGTTTTAATTGTATTTTTTTAAATTTTTTTCTTTATATTTTCTTTTTCATTTTTACTTTATTTCTTTTACTTTTATTATTTTAGGTTTTTGTTTTATTTACTTATTTTTTCTTAATTTACTATTTGTTTTTTTTCTTTTACTTTTGTTGTTTTCAGTTAGCTAGCATTTAAGCATTTTGTTCATTATTTTTCATTCCTATTAGATTTTGTTTCACGATAGATATTAGATAGTAGTTACATTGTATTCATTTATTATATTTACATTTTAGTGTGTTTATTATAGTTATTACCTTAGACTTTGCTTACATTTTATTCCATTACTATCTTTTATCTTTTATTTCATTATATTTCATTGTATTTTATTATATTGTTTTCCATTTTGTCCATTTTATTGTTTTTGTTCTGCTCTGTTGTATTTGATTATATTTGGTTGTGTTTTCTTTCTTTGTTCATTCACTTGCTCCCTAGACAACATCGCTAGGGTGCTGTGTAGGATGACTAGCCAGAGTAGAGAGGCGAGGTTCTGGGAGGGCCATGAGGCCAGTTCCTCGAAGAAGGACCTCCACAGGGCTCACTACCAGGTGCTGAGGTCCATCCATGAGGGGAGCTTTGCCTCCATAAAGTTGGCCAAGCACCTGCCCACAGACACCCTGGTGGCGGTGAAGGTCCTCGAAAAGTTGGACAGCACCTTCTTTGCCACCGAATTGGACATTTTGAGGTTTGTGGAGCACCCAAACATCATCAAGCTCTATGAGGAGGTAGAAACAGAGGAAAGGTTGTATTTGGTGATCGAGTATATGGACAAA